GTCTGAGCGCGCCTGCGGAACATCTGCAAGACACTCGGATCCCATGGTGATGAATGCAGTACCTAGACCCAGAGAGAGAAGGTTACCGTGCAACTAAAGTCAGGGCGCGACGCATTCGCCGGACCGGCTCTCCCCCCAAAAGCGCAGTCTCCGGATGCTGCCGGCCACGGTGCAGCCGAGCCGGGGTGGGGCGGTGGCAGTCACGCGCGCGCAGCGTGGATCACGATGTTAATTGAGCATGGGATGGATCCAAGCGTCTGTGCTTCCCCACGAGCCGTTACACACCACTCATCATATGCTACCTCAGGAAATCTTGTAGAAGGATTTGTATGCCAGCAAGTGTAGTAGTAGTGGTCTAGCCAGACATCGAAAGCATATTGGCACCGCTATAATTTGTCCATTCTCCAATATGTTTTCCTAAAAACGCCCATATGCTTTTCCTGGAGCTCCCATATGCTTTTACAAAGGGAAACAAAAACATTTTGTTAGTTGTGAGCGATTGATCCTTACGTCTTTTGCAAGAGTCGGCTAGAAGGCAACAACAATAACCGCTCAGCTGTGGGATTTTGCTTGCTTTTTTTTTTTTTGCACTGCTTTCCCTTCCCTTTCTTGGAGGAAATCGCGGAGATTGGCAATCCCTAGGGGATGTTGCAGGACATGAAAGGATGCTGCATGCACCGTGGGGTAGCCCAGCACGTACAGGCAGACTGCAATACTGCAATACAGGACAAAATAAGGGTCACTGGTTGGGAGGACAATGGCACCTCAAGCTCTGAGCGGCATCGGACGCTTTGATATGGTGATTCTGGTCTTCCCTGAAGACAGCCTGAATTGATCACCTTGATTTGCTCAGGCAGGTAGCGTGCGGGGCTCGCTGCTACGCACCGAGCCGGGGGAAAGTACACGTGCCCGCTCATACTTGACCCACCTCCACCTGCCGTGGACCTGGGTTTGAGGTTATGACGGGAGCTGATCTCCGGATGAGGAGCACGAGGCGGGATTCCCAACACCCTCCCGTCCTCCCGCAGTTGTAAAGACCTTCTAGGAAAACGGTCTGTGGCCAATAGGTGCACGTGGGTGTGTGCGTGTGCATGTGCACGCACACATGTGCGTAGGAAAAGCAAGACATAAGGACAAGCAGGATAGCATTTCAAGCAGGAGCATATTTCATAGATTTCATATTTCAAAGACAATGAATGAGCCCGGAAAAGGTCAGCGGAAAGAAAAAGGCAAAACCCATACCAACGTGGAGCACAAATACGCACACCTGTTTCGCTCCTTGGAGATCACAAAACAGCAGACTCCCCCTGCCTAAAGAAGGGGGCTTGTGTCCAAAAGTTTGCAAAGAACTTTTTTTGCAACTACTCAGTTGGTCCAACTAAAGATATCACATCTACCCCAAGAGGCTTGCCTGCCTATGTCCTTAGACCAACACGGCCACCACCAAAAACCTTGCACACCTGCTTGTGTACACCAGGAGTGGCCAATCGGAGGCACAAGTGTCACAGGTGGCAATCTCTGCATGCGGCATGCAGCAGATATGGGAGCGGGCAGGCAGCACAGTGGAAGACAGGACCGGGAGCAGAAAGCAGAGCAGGAGATGGGGCAAGGGAAGGGGACCGGAGCAGCACTCGACAAGGGTCCACTTCTGCCCCCACTGCCATAGGCGATCCTGCAGGCATGGAGAGGAGGAGCACAAGACCACCTTCTTGCGGGTGATCATAGTGCAGGAGCAGACAGAAGAGGCCACCTAAATCCTGATGTTGGGTGACATTTGAGAGCTTGAATTTGCAATTTTAATATTTCTGGCAGGGAGGAGGTGTCTACCTTGTTTGGCATCCACCGCTACTCCTAGCAGACACACACGCACGCAGCACACAAGTCTCCCGTGACACGGCCCAGTGCCCCGTAGTCCTGAGCCGATCCGGCCAGGTTCGCTCTCAGCAAACTTAGATTCCCTTGCAATGATTTAATCTGATGTGAAGCCTCATTACGAGGTGGATGCAAGAGATCGGAGCCTGAATTTCCATAGAAACAAAGCTGAGCAAATGGCCGAGAGAGGGGAAATCGTTCTCTTGCTATCGGGCATGGAGTAATGGACAATTAGCTGTTCTCTGAACGACCGTCCTGGCCACCTGCGAGTCAGCCCCGAGGCCTCGCAGCGCTACGGAGGAGCATCCCGAGGTTTTTTCATGGAAAGCCAAAGACTGCCCGCATCCTCCCCCACTCCTGAGAGCAACAGCATTGAAGAGAGGGCAGGGGACAGCCGTGGGGCTCAGTCTGCGGGTCCCAATGGGAAAGAAGGGACAACTCCATTGCATTAAAAAAAAACTAAATGAGAGCAAATATCATTTGAAAAATGGCTGCAGTGTTAACAGCTGTTTAATTTGGAGCATTGATGGGCCCTGGCCGGGGACCCCTGGCATGGACAGAGCAAAGCGCACAAGAGCGGTGCCCATTAATCTTCAGTAACCCAGCAACTGGGAAGAACAAGCCTTGAACCAAATTCCTCTGCGTTGTTATTAATCTCCCGTCCTCTGTTTATTAATCCCTTGTCTGTCTTCCTATTTTGCCAATTATTAATGTTCCCAACTGTTTGCAGTAAACAGGAGGCTGAAAACCCATCTCCCGCTCGCTATAATTCACGAGCCAAAGGGAAAAGAAAGGCAAGGGTGCACGGCAGAGCAGGACGCACGTGCTCAGCACCCGTGGTAGGGAGGTAGGAAGGAAGCCGCATCCCCCGCTGCTCCGCCGACTCCCTGACACGGTCCTGTGTGCCACACCAGAGCCAGCCGCCTGCTACTGCTGCAGGGAGCAAAGCTTTGCACAGCAAAGTCTCATACGCTCCAAGCTGGATACGTGGCCTCCAGAGGTGCCTCATCCTTGCACCCCGTCTCCAGCAGCAGCCAGGCATGCACCGATGCTCCAAAAAGAAAGGGAAAGCAAGCCCGTGTCACAGCTGGGCCCAGAGATCACCACGTACAAGACTCCCTGCATTCACACTTATACCCATGTGTATGTCCCCCGCTCCGCCTTGGAGGAAAACCACTCTTGGATACTCAACATCCAAGGCCAGAGTCCTGATAGACAACTAAATCAGGGATGCATGAGCATTGGTGAGCCTGAGCTCACTTCATCAGACCGCTCCTCCCCTTCTTGGCTCTACACCAGCTGGCTCTAGACCTATATCCCCTCGCTCAGGATTTTTTCGTGGCTTCTTCCAGCTTTCATACACCAATTACCGCACCGCAGTGGCCTCTCCAACATCAACGCTGCCTCCTAGGATGCTGCCATGATCGGTCAAGGCTGGAGGATGGACCTCGCCCTGGTACCGCTGCCTTCTTTAGAGCTTCTCCCCTCAATGGCATGTATTTATTTTATTTCGGGGGGAGGAAAGTGAAGGGTAATCTAAGATCCGGCCTCAAGAAGAGGTCCATTTACCGACGGTCCCAAACTGCCCCTCCGGCTGAGCTACGGGTCATTGCTAAACACCTTCCATCAGCGTAATGCAACCAAAGAGCCTAAAGGTCAAACGACCTTGCACCTTTCTTGTACTGATGCCCACGTGCCCTTTTTACTGCTGCACACTCACGCAAGCCCAGGTCTAAGCAAGTGACAACACCTTTGCAGACACGAGGTCAGGCAATGCACACACAGTAAGCCGGGACGTCGCCGTACAACCTGCTGAGATCAGCCGTCGATGACGGCAGGGAGACCCCATCCTCCTCTCACCTTCAAACAAGGCAGGTCTCTCCCGGCGCAGGCAGCTGGATGCACAGGAGCGTCTGCTGGGGGGCTGTGGGTGAAAAGACAGAGACCAGCATCACCATTTTGCATGCCAGAGCAGCCATCAGTAATTCAGGAAGGCTGCATTGCTCTCTCAATGAGTGAATAGATGAGCAGGCTTTCTCTAACCATCCCAGAGACGCCATTCCCACTTCCTGCAAGCCAGGGTATCCGGCTGCTCCCTTTCGGATCCTGCTGTGGTTTTTCCCCCTCCAAGACAGATTAAATCTGAACTGGTGCTGGAGCAAGCAGCTGTTTATCTCGGAGAGAAGCAGGTTGTTTTAAATCAATGGAGAGAAGGAGAAAGCTGCTAGCTTAATAGCCCTAGGCAATGAAGCCCTTTCCAACTTCTGGAAGGATTTCTACCCATTGCACTTAACCTGCCTTCCCTTGCTGAGCTGGGCCCCATCTCCAGGCATGGGGGAAAATGCAGAATCGGACAAGAAAACGGTTTGCTCTCTGTTTAGCTCAGCAGTGCTCAACCTTTGGGTCCCGTGCAGCCTCAGCCAGTCCCTGCATCCCAGAAACAGGTCCCGCGAGCCAGGATCGGACCCTGATGCCCTGCACTAGGTCACGCTACCTCCCCATGGGTCCAGCAATTTGACAGCAGGCAACCAACCATCCATTTTTCAGATCCATAGGGCGCTACACAGGACAGAGCTGGCCCGCGGGCCAGGAGTTGAGTGCTCCTGGTTCAGCCCATGGTCCCCTTCCAAGACAGTCCGGTTTTGCCATGTGAACGCCAACAAGAAGTAGAGCGGAGATGCGATTCTTCCCATGCAAGCTGCTAAACAGGCACCAAGGCTCAAGACTACTTAAACAAACTGGCTCTTCACCAGAGGGTTTAAATGCACCAGGTGAACTACAACAGCGGCTTTACACAGCGTTTGCACATTTGCTTTAGCCTTTTTTCTTGAAGAAGGTATCAGCACCTGGCAATTTTGTTCTGGTGAAAGGTTAGGACCGTTCTGTCAATTCACCACCCCCAGCCCCAAGCCCTCCCATAGTGGGAACATTTCCCGATGTGTTTTGATGGGTGTATAGATAGAGTCCAACCAAAGACTTAATCCGTCTCTATTGGAACATTTTCGGGGAGGGGGGGTCAATGCAGGCTTCCTTGCAGCCTTTCATGTCACCAGATGCGGCGCAAAATCCCCCTGAAGCCAGCGTCATACTGCTGGCATTTCATCTGGCAAATCTCTGAACACTTTATCTGCAATAAAAATCGCTGTAACATTGGCCTCTGTGTGTGCACAGAAGAGGATCCAGACTGGCACTGTAAAGAGTACAGCTCGCAGCAGGCCAGGGAAGAGGGAGGAGTGTGGAGACCTCGAGAGTCGTGGGACTGCATCCTAACACGCAAAGAAAAACCTCACGCCGTACCTGCCTACCCCAGGCTGCATATCCCCAGCACCGCTGTCATGGGAGAAAAATGTGCATTAACACTGTTAATGCGTTATACACCCGGATCGAGTAACAGCAAAGCAACGGACAGGTGTCCCGGCTACAGAGGAGGCAACACATGCTTACTTTCCCCGCTTTGCTTTCTTTCTCTTTTTTCTTTTAATTTAAAGGGGAAACGAATCCAGGACTTTTCTGTGTCCGACACATTTTCTGCTTGCTGTTTGATGTAGCGTTCAGAGCGGAGACTTCAAATAGCTCGTGCTTACTTATGCATCACAACGGCTCTCAACTAATACCCCTTATGTGACCAGAAATGAATGCATGATGAATCATTCCTACCACACGCAGCGGGGCTGGCGAACTGCGGGCCGCGTCTCCCGAGGGCTGGGCCGCTCGCGGCCGTTTTTGGAGAAAGGGGACGCTCGCGGCCGTTTTTGGAGAAAGCGTCAGATCTGCAGTTTAACCCTGAGTAGTCAGGGGATCCGAGCAGAAAACTGCTGCCGCCCGATTGCAAGATAGAGGCGGTCGGACGGACTCAGCCCGTCGAAGAAAAATCGCCTCTTAAGTATGAGTCTTCATTGAAAGCACCTACTTTTTAGTGCAGCGATTCTCAACCGGGGAGACAAGAAAACCCCCTGCAAACATGATCCACAAGATAAACCCAGAGGTTTCAAATAGGAATCCACAGCATTAAATACATCCTGCCTTGCTGTGGGCTTCTCTACAACAGAAGAATGGCTCTAGCATTTTTCTGTAGTCAAAAAAATATATCTAAAAGAGTGAAAACCAAAAGCTGGCATTTTTCGAGGGGGGGTCTTGAGTCGAAAAAGGTGGAGAACCGCTGCTTTAGTGTTTTAGCAGAGGGGGATAGACAGAGAGGGACCTAAATGAAAGCTCCAGCCCCAGTTTAGCTTCGTACTCTTTTGTGCTGCCTTTTTCTCTGCAATGAATTAAATCGAACGCTTGAATTCCAGAGAAGTCAGGACCTGCGTCGACGCACCGCCTAAGCTTCACTTACACCGAGCAGATGCTGAGTTGGATGAACTAACAACCAAAACGTTACATCTCAGCTCACCTTCTGTTCAAAACCATCCATAAAAGGCTACGATCTCTGCCAAATTGGCTTGGATAATTCATTGGCAAAAGTGCTCAAAGATCCATCGACATCTCTGGGTTTTGGTTTGGGACATTTTAAAAACAAATCTCAGTGGTTTTAGACCCCTATTTAACATGTTAACACGCCACAAATAATCACGTGCGAATATGCAACTGGACGTTCAGCTTTCCGGCTGCAAACGGGAGGAAGGCAGAGATACCTGTACCCTGGCACAGGCGGCACGGGCAGCCTGAGCTGGGCGTGCATGTTGGAAACAAGATATTAGCTCTTCCTTTCAGCCTGGGAGGCCTAACCCCATTTATTATTCAGGAAGAAAAGTCTGCTGGATCCAAGTGAAAGTGCAAGGGCAAAGGAGACTCGCCCTCTGCCTGAAGAAGGGTATTTATGCCTGACAGCTTGCAAAGAACATTTTTTTCCAACTCTTCAGTTGGTCTACTAAAAGATATCCCACCTACCCAAAAAACCCTGTCTGCCTAGGGTGAAGGAGATATCTAGCCAGAGCAACACTGGCTGCCAGGGCACTGTGCTAAAATACATCCTCTTGCAAAAACACATGGATCGTAGAAGAAAGGGAAGCAATGAGGTTTGTGATGTGAACAATTAACTGGAGCCATGAAACCATGCAAAAAAAAAAAATCACTCTAAAATAGCCATCTCCCTAAGCTTGCAAATACAAAACAGACCCCCAGGAAGGAGAGAGCATAAGATCCTAGAAGCCCCAGCGGGAATCACGCTGCACACCCAGCCGTTTGGAACAGGTGTCTCAGTAGCCAAGGAGAGCAATACAGAGGCAAAGTGACTTGCCCAAGTCCACCCAGCCAGCCAGTGGCAAAGCCGGGCCCAGAACACAGGCCTGCAGACCCCAAATCCTGCCCCGCAACCGTTGCCCCATGGAAGATGGCCGGCTGCCTCCCAGCCCACAAAGGGATCCTATAGCAGACAAAACCAGATGGTCCCCTTTAGACTAAACCCAACCTCCCCCCGCCGCCAAAGAGCCATGCACGGAGACGGGGAGGATTTTTGCCGCCCAGCCCAAACAGCGCCCGGCTCCATAAACAACAGATTCAATTCTCCAGCTACAAAAACTATGTTTTAGCAAAAGTGCAATTGAACTCCATGTACTTGTTACATTTCTAAATATACTCCGGTTGTCAAGACAACAAAGAGACTGATGGATCTCTAAAGCATACTGTATCTATTTAATTGTCAGCATTTCAAACTGACTCGGAAAAAAAGTGCTGCGTGATAAGTCTAATTGCCATGGTTACCGCTGGCTAAACCCATAATAAAAAAAAAAAAATTAAAAAATATTTTAAAAAAAGAGACTCTCGCCGAACGCGCTTCGCCACGTGAGGAGCAGATGGGAGATGCTCTCGTTACTGCGCCAGTCCCCGGCGGAGAGCTCAACTCGAGGAAGAGCGCGAGAGACTTTTTGGAGCTCTCAGACACAACAGACGTCGTGGGCTGGAGCCGTCTTGACGGCGAGGAGCTGGGCTTTCCCTCCCACGCTGCTCGAGCTCCCGCGCGTGACAGCACAACCGGCTCAGCACCACGAGACAGACCTCAACCTGCGACACGGCAGCCACGGGAGGACCTCACGGAGACACGCCACCGCCTAACGCCCGTCTCTTCCCCAGACGGGCAGGGATTTCGGTCAGGTGCAAAGGTGCTTAGGAGCGTAGCATCCGTGGGGTGCCCGTTCCTTAATGGAAGGGCCTACGTTGGAGTTGGGTGACTAGATAGCCGCCGTGGATCCGGTCCCCGTTGTCAACCCGAGGGGACAGGAAAATGGTGCTTGGAGCACAGGACTGTCCCAAGCCCAGATGTGCAGAAGGGAGGGAGGAGGAGTCTTTCCAGATGGGTGCCTGCCCATGCAGCCCAGAATTGGGGACCTGGGGGGGCTTCTCCGCACCCCAACACCAGACAGCCAACGCAATGGTTCCCTGCCCGGTTGCTCTGAAGACTTCTCTTTATAGCACCCATTTCTATACACCACAGACATCCCTCTGCCAGCTTCTGGTGCTGCTGGCTCTGTAATATAAATTTGGGGCTATTACTGGCTTGGAAGAGCCCAGGAAGAAGGGCGAAGGCAGGATGCTGCTTGCCAACCCCAGCGAAATGCAGTCAGCCCTGCCCGTGGCATGAGCTCCCTCTCTCCGCTCACCCGAAAACGTGGCCGAGGTGGGAGATGGGCTCCGCGGCGTGCTCAGCCCGTGGGATTACGAGCCGCGATGCTGCAGTTTTAGAAGCACAGCTGCGGGTAGGAATTGAAAGGGCTGCACTTTTGTGCAACGAGTCCTAAAATAACGACGCTCTCTGCAGTGCGATCCCAGCCAGGAAGTGCTGCTTTATGTCCATGCACAAAATGGATGGGATGATCTGAAAACGGGACTTTATTAGCAATAAGATTCAGGCCCTATCCCTCCAAAAGCTTAGCGCTCGAGGACCGGCTCTTGTTCAGCCTCCCTAGCTAAGTTGAAGCTTCAGAC